TGGGAAAATACACTACCATATCTACGTTTCCCACCTCCCGGCGCATTCCCTCACTAACACTTATTCTACTCTCCTAACTCCGAAACGACCAACTTCATTACAACCGCCACACCCAAAACCCCCATCCCGATCTTTATCCGGCTCGATTCCACCAGGAGTCAGGCATTACCTCGATTTTTCCTTCTTTCTCAATTCACCTCGCCTCCATAGCCCGCGCAGCCTGTTTCTTTCTTTCTCCTATTCTACTAATTTTTATCTAAAACTGACTTCACCATTGTACTCGCCCTATGCCAAAACATTAGACCCGATTATTTCCCTACCTAATCCCGTTGCCATTCACATGAGCTATCCCTCTTTCGTGTGCCTCGCCTGCCATCTCCGCGCACTGTCTTTTTCACTAACCTCCATTCACACTAACTCTTCAGCGAAATTGACCCCGCCATACAATTCGCCCAGGGCAAAAACCCTGAAATCGCCCCTTTCCCCCTTCGTTTTCATTCCCGACCGAGAGCGCAGCGTGTTCCTCACTGCACCCGACTCTTTCTCCCGCCATCCCTTTCGTTGCATGTACCCGGTGCGGCCCTCCGTCCGGGTTCATTCACTTTCCTTTCTCCGTCGCGCTTCGGTCCCCTGGTGTCTTCATCCGCTACGCTCCCCCGCTGCCCCCCCTACTGTCTCGTCCCCCCGTTCATCCGTGACCCGGCTACCTCGCTCCGCCGCCCGTCACCCCCTTCCTTCACCTCCGAATGTACCCGACACGACTTGTCGTTCGGGTTCATCCCCGTTCCTCACTGTGTTGCTGCCAACAAAAACCCAGCACCTCGCTGCCTGGCACCACCAATTTTCACACACAAGAAGAACTCCCAACCACCGAAGCTGCCCTTACTTATGTCGCCCGCCCGTCCGCCCGGGCCACACTACCCTCCCCGACGTTGCCCGATTTTCCGCCAACATCCCAATGGTACGGCCGAGGCGATGCCTCGTAGCGGTAGTAAGAGCCGCCCGGCCTCCTCGATCTCGGCCTACTAGTGGGTGGGGGGTGGGGCGGACACCGACCCCCCCTTTTTTTTTTGCACGCACCTTTCCCCATCTACGTCCGGGTTCGTCCCCGACCTCTCGACGTCACCCCGGCTTTATACACAACGCCTTCGCATAGGAGTCGGGCCAACCTTCTCTGTGTCATTCCGATTCTAACGGATGTCACAAAGGACCCGGCCGCGGTAATGCCCCGCGGCAGTTCCAAAGGCCGTTTCACCTCCCTAACCCCCGCCCCGCCGGCATGAGAGGGTGTAGCCACCGCCCTTTTTGCTTTCCACCCGCATCCAGCCCCATTGGCGTCCGGGTTCACCCTCCGGCCTCCCACACCGCGCCGTATAACGGCATTGGCCATTCCAACAGCCCTCAGCCGCGGCCCCGCCTCCCCCCTTTCGATTTACACATATCCTCTGCTTACTGGGCCGCGCCAACTTTCCCCCGCGGCTCATCAGGGTCTGAACTACCAGCCGCGGTACCACGCCCTAAGCCCAAAAACGGGCCCACGAATAAATAAAAGAAAGGACAAAAATAAAACAAAATAGCATAAACAAAAACCCCCACGCAGGGTGCGGGGGCTGCAAAAAACCCCCACCGGCCCCCGTGAACCGGGTCTGTCACCGCCCCCATTAACAAAACCTGAGGGGGATAGCCCCATCGAGCCCGCAACCCCTCGGTTTCCTCCACCGCCACTGCTGCTACGCTGACGCCCGCTGGCCTCGATCCTTAAATCCCCATAGTAGTAGTCCAACACCGTAACCTATAGGGCTATGCCCCAACTTGGAACAGCTAGGTGCAAATTTCAATATGATGTGGTGCCACACGCAGCCCAGGCCTGGAAAAAAAACAGCCTGGGCCCTCTTTTCCTACCAGCAACCGGCGCGCCAACACCAGGCACCCGCGTTAGCCTACTTAGACCCCGCCGTGGCCGCCCCGTGCGCCTACCGACGTGCCAGTCCTACCGTTGATCGCACGTGCCAACTGAAAAATGAGCTTTCATCCCGTAAACAAAACCGTAGCACGGTCCAGGTAGGTCGACTAGGCCGGCCGCTCCCTCAATCAGAAAAATCACACGCGCGCCTTAAAACTGCGCGCCCACATACACTCTAACTTAGTCAGGACGGGTTCCAGACGCGGCCGTACCTCGCCCGACTCATGCCGGCCAAACCCATTTTTTTGTCATTTGCAAAAACCAGGGCGGATACCCTTGTAAGGGTATTCGCGCCGACAGCCTACCGGACTATATTAAGCGACGTCCCCGTCGCTACGCCAAATCAGAAAGCTACAAACCCATTCACACTCCAAATGCTGACGAGAGCGGAACCAATTCCGATTAACCGACAGACTCAGGGTCGAGGCCTTCAACACTCCATGCTGACATAACTTTATGCTGCCAGGGTCTCAACCTGGGTTTCCGTTGTCCTGACACTAGGACGCAGGTGTATTACGCATCAATACTACAACATAAGTTCCAAAGGTTACCTCAAACCGTCCTTTCCCCTTCGTCCTAGACAAACGCCGACTTTTCGTTGGGTGTCCTAGTTAGACTCTCTCTTACGAGCAGAGTCATACGGGGACGCGGGCCTTAGACGAGACCTCAGACGACACTCTTGCCTCCCTCGCAAAAATCCTCACAATCAAACATATATATGTATACGCTGATCTCCTATCAGCTCTTTCTGCAGTCTAGTACAGAAACGCTAGGTCTCCATCCTGGCCCACCATAGTCTGGTTGATCGAGTCAGCTCTACAAACTAACGCATTGTTATCTTAGCGGCAGTCCCTTCGTTGGTTATGCAACGATAGGTTTTCTCCTGATAGGCATTCAATCAGGGCGCCCAAACGACTCGACTCGTATCCCTCGCCATTCCACCAGAGTAATTTCCTTGGGGCGTGCATAACCTCTTATACTCTTACTTTGCCGGTAGACGTGGGCCCGCAGCCAAGTTGTGCTGGCTTGCAGCCATAGAATAAGGGTTGCGCCCTAGGGGTGCTAACCTTTACCGTCTAGCTTAGTATTCCTCAATATGCCTTAGGATTAGCACAGGTGTTTAGATGGTGCGTCGCAAAATAGATCACAGGCCCACTGCGGGACTACGCAAGGCTCTGTCTCACTTTAAAGGCGTTCACCAGCTCCCTATGGGATACATAGGAAGCGTGACCTCCTTTTCACAATCACAAATAGATTCACCGCTAGGCTCACACCAGGCCGTGGACCACTTGACTTGATCAGAGGCAGCAGACCATATATCCCATGACATTCTTATGCACTGACTTGTGACCTTGTCGGTTCCACCAATGGTTCCAACTTGTAACCCTGGTTCATCTCGTCAGACTTTATCACTTAAACATTGCTTACCATGTCATTAAATCCATTACCCACTTTTCACATGAAGGGGGCCTCTCTTAATAGGTCTCCCAGTCATCCCTCTCTTCTCATAGGATGGACTATCACGCGACCTCGGTTATATAAYCGTCAWTAACCASCATTCCCACCYTCCATAATCTGAARGGGGCYTCCACCATAGAGCAAMTCACTGAGGGCCTACTYAAGGGTCCTCTTTRTCAACTYATACGCAAAACAACTCGAACTGGGGGACCAACTCATGGGTCCCTTTTACAACTTAGCCATAGACATCCGGTATGGTAAGCATTCGAGTCTTATAGGCTCGCAAGACCCCTTAGGGTCCTCACACATCTGTCACCAAACAGCCGCGCTGCCTCCTCTTATACTCGGTCATTTMACCCGCCCATGGGCAGGCCGCACGAGTATACYGAAGAGTAGACGKCAATCACAATCACACAATACACATACATGAGATGTATCCCACACATCTCTCACACAAAGCCCTCATTCATTGGGATAAAGCCACACGTGTGAGAGTGATCGTGATCGTCACAAGAGTAAATCCCACAGAGGGTGGAATCAAAATATACTCGAGAGCAAAATATATCCCTCAAGTCTCAATACAACACTCAACTCAAGCTCTCACACACACAATTCCTAGGATATACCTAGGAATAGGATGCCCACCCCAGTGAACAACTCAACACTCAGTTCCCTGTACACTGTACAGGGTGGACTCACACCCCATATGTTATGGGTCTCAGGATCGAATCAGAAATGTAAAGAAGGTTTCCAAACCTCCAAACCTAATGTACAAATCATACAGTCACAAGTATCTCACAACTGAATCTCACCCGCTGAACTGTATCACACACAAAACCCAATGACCGATTGAGCCCTGCCACCTATGTATGTACAACTAGACAGGACTCCCACGACGAACTCAGACGTGCACACCCCTTAGGACCCACTCAACTGACTCAGAGTATGTACATCCCTAACCTGACCTCTGGGTACAGAGGAACTCTAGTCCTACTGTCATATAGACAGGCCAGCCCCTACTCACTCATGGCCTCCTGGTTCTGCCTATACAATTGTGCCCTACCCCCATCTGGAGCCCGCTCTACCACTCGCCCCTGTCTGTCGTACATCCTCGCACCAGTCTCTGTCACTCTCCCAGCCGCCTTGTCCTTAAGGAACTTCGGGCATTCAAGAGCCCTATGTACGCCGTCCTTGCAGAAGATGCATTGATCGTCTGATCTAGTTTCCCTGCTCATCCCGTGGCTCTGGGGCATACTCCAAGACTCTGCCGGCCCTGCCTCCATCATCTGGGTACTCGGCCCTGCTAGCATTTCATCTCCCTCGGGTCGGTACGCTGGAGTGTCCAATCTCAGTGGCCTACTCTCGCGGACTCCTCCCATCCCAGTCGCCCCCTTGTCCCTATGTAGATCAGAAGGCTGGGGAGTCACGACAGTCGCTGGCTCGCTCATAACTTCCTGCTGCTGCTCTGAGATGTGCTCTCCTGAGTCAGCTCCAGTAGCCCAAGAGCCTAACTGCGTCCTCGGCCCCGCCATCCTTGGCACACGTTCTGGGGTCTTCTGTCTTTGACGCTCTTCTGACGGCATGTCCAACTTCATAGCTGCCACTAACTCATCAAGTCGAGACACCTCTCCCCCCAATGCCTCCGGCTAAGAGGATGCTGCTGCTCCCGTAAGGGCACCCTCCTGCACCTCCAAAAGGATCGTAGGGGACTCCTCTGTTGGGCCCCCTTCCTCCACTGGAGGTTGGGGTCTCTGCGCCGGCTCGCCCTCAGGGATCTCAATCGTCATAGGGGTGGCCAACTCCGTGGGCGTTCTGAAGCTGAACCTCCCCTCCTCGACCTCCCGCCGTGCTGCCGCCTCTATTGGGTCCAGGAATACCTTCCCCATACCTCCTTGCTGATGTGGCTCTGTCGTCCCTTCCCGGCCAAAGAGCCCCTGTACCTCCTTCCCCTGGATACCATACCGGCTCTGCTCCATCCAGTCGACCACCTTAGTGGCCGAGAGCCTCTCCACCATTGCCGCCATGTCCTGGAGCCTCTTCTCCCATTCCGCTTCCTTGACTTCCATACGGGACCTCCATGCTTGGTTCTCTGCCCTCTCTTCTGCCAACTGGGTGGACAACTGTCCCACCTCCAACCTCGAGGCCGCCAACTCATCGCTGAGCATGGAGTACCGTTGGAAGGACGAGATTGCCACCTCACCTATCCTCCTATCTGCACGCTCAATCTCCATCCTGGCGGCTGAAAGTCCCAAATCCCCTGTCTCTCGTGCCTCGTCCACCCTCGCATTCTCCTGTCCCACGTCTCGTGACCTCAGGCGAGCAGCATCCCTCTCACCCTCATAGCTGGCCCAGGCCTCCCTAATCCTCTGCTCGCTTGTCGGAGGGTCAATCGGTAGCTTCAGCGTTTCTTCTGCGGCCTCCATCCTAATCTTCTCCTGGTATAACTTCTCGAGGCGTACCTGCACCCTCGTGCTCTTCTCTTCTTTCGTCTCCCCTGATGGCCTCTTGCCCGCGCCCCATGGGCCTCTCGCAGTGGGTCTCTCTCACTTGTCCCCTCCTATGTGGGTGGCGGCCCAGGTGGAGGCTCCCCGGATGTCGGCACCTCCATGTCCATGCGCTCACCTGTAGGCTCAGTTAGTTGTGGTGCCATAGTAGTAGGTGCCCTCGCTCTCTCGCCCTCCTCTGGCTCCACCTGCGTTGGAGGTGGCGTAATAGCTTCCGATGGAGGCCCCAACATCTCCTCGCTGTCCGGCTCAGGAATCCCTTCAGGCCAATACTGTCGCGTCTGCTCCGGAATTGGGGCAGGGGGTGGGGTATCATCCCCAACCGTGATAACCCCCTCACTTTGCGGCTCCTCAGGCCCACGAGACCTCGCCTCGGGCCCCGACTCAGGTGGTTCCTCCTCTGGCTCATCCTCTACTGGCTCATACCATGCCGGTCCGCTCTGGTCCGCTCCCAGCTATGACGCCCCCCACTGGGACGCATCGAGATGAGCCTCCAACCTGTCGAGCGGCGTCCTCAATGGCACTGCCTCTCCCCCCTCTGGTAACGTCGGTGACGGGCCTCGTAGATCACTGCCCGTGATCCGGCGAAACTCCACCCGCTAGGGGGTAGCTCCGCCGCCTGAGCTGGCCCCGCGGCCTGAGCTGGGTCCACCGCTTGGGCGGCCTCTGCTGGCCCATCTCGCTGTGCCAAGGCCTTTCGGCCCCCTCTGGTCGTAGTGGCCCCTCTCGCCTCTGGGCCCCGTGGCCTCTTACTCCTCTGTTGTCTCTCCACCCTGGGCTCCGGCCTCTCGGGCTCCAGTCGTCCAAATGCCTATCTCAACTGGGCCTGGCAGTCCTCCCAGTCGCGTGCGCTGTCCAGGATCTGCCTCGCCAACGGCCTCTCCGCCCTCCACGTCCAGAGGGGCAGCGTCTGCATCCACTCCTCCAGCCCAGTCCCCTGGTCGCGCATATACTGCTCATAGGTCGGGATGAACTCTTCCACATTGCCTTCCTCCAATTGAATAGGCAGCTCATCCGGTCCCAAAGGCGAAGCCCTCAACATCTGCATCCTCGCCTCCACATCCTGTCAGGTCAAAGCCTCCTCCCGGATGTGCGCAATAGGCTCCTCAAAACGCCCAACTCCCCTTAGTTGCCGTATCCTCTCCAACGTAGACCAACCCTCCCGTGCCACATGTGTCTGGTAGGAGTCCAGAAAAAACTCTATGTTATCGTCGTCGAAGATAGGCGTGGACTCCCTCCCAACCGGTCTGTGCGAGTCATCCCCTCCTGATGCTCCCTGAGGCCTCTGTCGTGGTCGCGGGCCCCTCCCGCCCCTGGCTGTCTTCGAAAAGTCAGGCCTGCACAACAAGCGAGAGAAAGCAAGCAGGCACACAACAAGGTTAGCGCTCGGTTCATCAAGTTTTTATGACAACATACATGCCTTTTTCTACTCCCTCACCTGTCCTAACCATAACATGCAATACCTCAAGGACTAATTTACTCTGAGGAAGGTAAAATTCTTTATCTATTCCCTGGCCACGAACTTCTTCAGGCTGGTCCCTGATACCCAATCCTGCCAGCCTGTCCCGTCCAGCTCCTCGATCTGATAGGCCCCGAATTCGCTGCATCGCAATATTCTATAGGGGCCCAACCATCTCTTGTCAAGCTTCCTCGACCATTGCTTTTCCATAGAGGAGTCGTATAATAATATGACATCCCCTACTGTCAATGACTTCTTTCGTACTCGCGCCATCTGGTCCCACCTCATCTTATCTTCCATGCGACTCCTTTCTACCTGACCAGCGGCCTCTCGCAATCTTTCTTCAGTCGCCCCCACTTGCCGCGCCCGAATAACGAGTAGTCCTTCGAAGGACAGGTTTACCTCCAAGTCCTAGCGCCTCCACGTCTTCATAAGGCTTTCTATGGGAAAGGTGGCATGCCTCCCGTACCATAGCGTGGCTGACGCGTACTTGGTAGTCCTCTTTACAATAACATTCTCCACGAAGAAAGCTGCCTGTAGGAACTTTGGCCACTGACCAGGTTTGCCCTCTGTCCACTTAGCCAGGAGATTCGTGATGGTACTGTGCCCCCTTTCCGCAGGAGCGTTCGTTTGAGGGTGCGCGGCCGTAGTATAGTTGGTCACTACGTCATACCCTGCAAGGAACTTCCTCACCACATTGCAGGTAAACTCTAATCCTCGATCCATCACGAACTCCCTGACAAAAGGGTATCGCAGGTAATACTCCTCGATGCAGTTCGCCAAAACCGGGCCAGTCTTCGTCCGGATAGCTCGTCCGTCCACAAACCCACTAAGGTTATCCCGTGCATCGAAGATGTAGTTACACCCATTCTTCCCTGCTGGCATGAATAACAGGTCCAGGCGTACGACCACACCCACTTCCCTTTCTAACCTTGGGTGTAGGGGTTCTCCAGGCCTTTGCGCTGACCTCTCTTGGCAAGGTATACAGGACCGGCAATATTTGATAACCATCTTCAGCATCCCGTCCCAATGGTAGAACTCGCTTATCTTCGCGCATGTGGCACCTACTCCTCTGTGCCCCCCTGCTATACCATCGCGTAGGGCCGCTATGATATCAATTTGCCGGTTCCTCCCACATACGATCCTCTTGGGGTTCCCGACATGCCGCTTTATAAACAAGTGACCGTCTCTTACCACATAGAGGTGCCTCATCTTCTGTCCCTTGGCACTTGCATCTCTATCCCTCATCTCACATGATAGGAGCAACCCCAATTCCCGGTAGATCCCATCGTACTCCTCCGCCCGAAACGCCTCCTTAATTTTTCCTTCCTCGAATTCGTCGTCCCCACTTTCAGGAACCAGAATCTCATTTCCTTCATGACTGAACGAGCCCCTCCGGTCAAAGTCTCCCTGCAGGAGCGTATTAATGAGCAGGTACATCCCTCCCATTAGYTGCTCATGCTCCTCTACCTGAGTGGGGCCTTCTTCTATCGTCCTCATTTCCTCCACCAGGCTGTGTGTTCCTGCCAATGCCAATTTCATCATCCAACCAACATCCTTACTCCCCCACGGATCCTCCTCCTGAAAAGGCTTGAGGACCAACTCTTCCTTCTGCTCGTACCCCTTTGGCGCTAACCATATAGGGTGGCTGACGCAACTGGGTACTCGCAGGGACCATTCGTTTATATGCAGGCAGATGTCCTCCTCTTGGTCCAAAACCCCATCAACTGGTGGGGCGTCTTCTATCGATTCCTCGTCCGATCCGTCCCAGTTGATGCGGCTTAACCCATCTGCCCTGTTCTTGTTCCCTGGGATCCTTTCCAACTTGAAATTAAACATCCAAATGTAGGTCAACCACCTTGCGACGGTTGGGTCAAATGGAGTATAATTCTCCAGGGAACATGCCAGTGCAGTAGGGTCCACCCTCAAGATGTGCCTCCTTCCAAAAACATAGTTCCGGAAGGTCCTTAGGCAATGAAGTACCGCCAGCGTTTCCTTCTTGAACTGAGAGTAATTCCTCTCAGTTGTATTGAGGGCACGACTTTCGAATCTTAGCGGCCTCTCCTTCCCCTCAGTATCTGCCTGAATCAAGACTTCGCCCAAGGCAGTTGGCCCAGCGTCTGTCTCAATAACGAATGATCTCTCCTCCGTGGCTTCGTAGTTTGGCGCTCCCAATACCAAGCCTTCTTCCTTAAACTCTCTCTTCATCCTACCGACTGCCTCTTCCTGGTCTTCGCCCCAGACCCATTCCTGATCCTGGCGCACCAACTTCCTTAAATGCTCCGTCTTCGTGGCGAAGTCCTTCACGAAGCTCCTCCAAAATCCGCACGTCCCAAGAAAATTCCTCATATCTGTTATCGAGCGAAAGGACACCGGCCACTCAAGAATCTTGTCTGTTTTCTTTACGTCAGGCCTTCGCCCATTCTCATTACAGACAAAACCTAGAATCGTGGCCTCCCTCATACAATGTTTCGACTTGGGGCCGCTCGCCATCAGGTTATGCTCCTCCAATAACCCCAGAACCTGATCGATGTCTTGAACATGCTTCCAGACAAAGCGCCGCACACTGGGCATCACTTCGTCTTCCTCCTTCTCCTTCGGACCTTTGACCGCCAGGTCATCGATATAGGGTTGGGTGATATGTGGGCTGACCATCTGCATGGCTCTGTTCATATGCCTTTGCACCATCGCCACCGCATTCGTCCAACCTTGAGGCGCCACGTTAATGTGAATCAACCCTCTCAGTGTGTGCATCGCCGCTACGGGCCTGTCTGGCGCGTATACAGGGAATTGGTCGTACCCAGAGTAGAGGTCTATAAGCGAGATTATAGGCCTCCCTACGCACGACTCTAACAGCGCGTCCGCGTTCGGCAACCCTCCCGCGTCCCGCACTGTCACCGCATTTAGCCGTTGCAAGTCCTGCACCCACCTTAGCGTCCTATTTGGTTTAATAAAACAAAACCAAGGCGACGCGTACGGTCCACTGGAATAGTCGGTCACGTGCACCCGCATCTTGCCATCCAGGTAGTCCACCACCTTCTTCTCCTCATCCGAATTTGGGTATCGTGCGCCCCTTAGATTCCATAGCTCATGTGGAACAGTGTGGATTCGTATCATCGGAATCTTATCCACATCCAGGCTCTCACGCTCGTCGTCATTGAACGCATATGCACGGTGCCTTTTCTTCATCAATCCCACCATCAACGCCCTCTCCTAGGGCGACAGGAAGTCGGGCTCCCCAATTATCAACTTCCCCTCATTTTCGTCGTAGATACGGCACGGCCCGGCCAACGCGTGCTCCCGCATACGCCGTATCAATCCTCGTTCCCGCTCGTAGTAGGCTTCCTCATCCTCCGTGACGAGCACGGGAACTGGGCGGCACTTCTTATCAACGGTCTTGTACCGCCTTTAAGAGCCCTACTTAAGCCCTCCCCTAAAAAAGGCCGACTTGTCGTTCGGGCCTGGGCCATTGCAGAGCCTCCTCTCCCTCCAAGAACCCGATACACCAACTCCACCTCTCCCACTTGAGGGTTCTCCAAAACCTGCTCCCTCAATGCCTTAATGGCCTCTGGATCCGCCATGTCATGAGCCGACACCACCTCCATGGCCTTATTCACATCTGTGAGGCTCAGTGTCAGCACCTCAGCCTTATCCTCCTCCTCGGGCACTTCCCAAAGTCGTCTTCGCTTGTTCTCTGATTCCTCGAAGGTGAATGAGCCGAGATTAGGCCTATTCCTCCCGCTCCCCGGCCCCGTGTTTCGGCAGGTGACAACTTCGTAGTTCCCGCACGCTGGGTCGCATAGGAGCAGGATCATTGTGACGTCGTGCTTATTAAAAATCAACATCTCCGTTCGACACAGGAATGACCTTCCCAGAAGGATGGGATGATCGACATCGGGCATGACGAAGAAGCACGTCCTGGCTCGCACCTTCCCAATCTCTATAATCACATTAGACGTCGTGCCGCAGAAAGCGGCCTTGCAGTTGGCGCCATGCAGCATGCCATAGTCTGAGCGGTCGATCTCCATGCCTATCATCACCGCCTCCTTCTCCCTGATGATATTCATTTATGCGCCTGTGTCCACCATCCCAGTGCACTTCTGGTTCTTTATCACCAGATCCACCTGCCCGCACGCCACACATTTTCAATCCATCCTTGTCCCTGCCTCAGTCCACTCCACCTCCTTGGGCAGGACCGTACTCAGATGGACATTTGGCACCAATCTTCGTGAGAGTCGCCCTTTCAACTCCCCACGGAGCCTTGGCCCCGACGCCAGGATATCCTTCAGGTTCATCAAGTCATTGTGGCCTTTCAGGAGCTTGTCCACCATCCGCTCAACATCAAAACCCTCCTCCATCCGGACCACGTACTTCTTCCTCTTAGGTACGCTGTCGGGTAGGCTCGGCTCGGCCTCCTCCCGGACTCCTCTCTTTTTGGCCCTCAGCTCCGCCCGCTGATCCTCCTCTTGTCGGAGCCTCTTATCCTCTTCGTCGTCATCCTCTTCCTCTTCCTCCGGGACCTCTACCACCTCTTTCCTACGTCCTGGCTCAGGCTCCTTTCGAGGGGGTGCCTGACTGGGCTCTTGGCTAGGCCCGACCTTGTTTTGGCTCCTAGTCCGAGCCGCCTGCGGCATCCTCCCATGCGACGTGGGAGGTCTATAGGCCATACCTTACCTAGGGCCCGTCCCTACAGTCGCCACTCTTAGTTACCCCTGTTGTCCTGGCGAAGGCTCAGGTCCGGAGTCGTAGAGGAAGACCTCAGGCAGATTGGCCTCCCACTCTCGGGCTTCTTCACACAGGGCCTGCAACTTCCGCTGGTACCTTCCCACATTTTTCAGCTGATCTTCGATCCTCCCTAGGACTATGGCCAACTCTCCTTCGTCTTCCTGCCCTTCGTCATCCGATTCGACAACTATTGGCTCCTCCCTGATAGTTCTTGCCTTTAGTTGCTGGGTGACCTCCTCACTGTCCCCTACAATCTCCTCGACTCTTACGGCCGGCTCTTCCTTCTCCTCCCACATCCTAAACATTGTCGGGGGTGCTGTGGGTCCCGCTGCTGCTCGCCTGAGAGCCTCTTGCCTGATTCCTCCCGGGGTCCTGGGGTCGATATGCTCACCCCACTTGTCATATATATCCCCGTCCATACAGGAGGAGATTAACCCTGACAATTCATCCTCCCGCCGCCACTCGCAGAACCGCACAGTGTGGCCTACATCGCCACAATGCCAACAGGTGGCATTTCGCCAATCAAAGCGGGGGCTCCCATACCCTTGGCCCCCTTCCTGGCCGCCCCGGCCACCTTGGTTCTGGGCCCTTTGACCATTCCAACCACCCCCACGACCCCCACCATTTCCTCCTCGACCTCGGCCGCCACCTCCTCGACCCCCTTGACCTCGGCCTCCATTGCCTTGTCCGCCTTGTCCTTGGTTTCCTCCTCTGGCCACGCTAGCCTGCGAGGCCTGTTGGGAGGGAGGTGGTTGGGCCACAAACTGACCCTGAGCCGTAGGGTAGCTCGGGGGCCCCATACTTGCCGCTGGGCCTGCATAAGGGACCATTTGCCCGGGGTGAGTTTGACTACCCCCGCACGAGGTGCAGTGATTACAACTGGGCCAGGATGCAGGCTGACAATGCGGCACCCGGTGCCCACAAGCCGGCGGCGGCCCCATACATGACGGCCCGGTCGTCGTTGACGTTGTCGTGGCAACAGGTGGCGGCGCAACAATCGCTTGCGGGACCTACCCTTTTCCGGATTCTTGACCCCCCACTTATAAATTCCGCTGCTTCCTCTGGGCCTTGGTTAGGATCTGGGAGCTCGTCTCTTCTCCGCCATAGTCCTCGCGCCTAGCCTCCTCTTCCACTGCCCCCGACGCCCGGCCTTAGGCCACGGTCACTCATCTCTTTTGCACTTCCACCTCATTATCATACCCCAGCGCTGCTAATACGTCCGTGACGATCCTCTTCACCCCTGGGGTCCCGGACGCGGTGGCGTCCCTTTCCTTTCTCTTGCGCCTTTGCAGCCGCACCTGGTGCTGCTCCACCTGGTCCAGGCTCCCCTCTTCCACCCCTTTGTCGATAGTGGTCCAGGTGAGTTTCTCATTTCCCCCTCCGTGACCCGTCAGCTCCGAGGCCTCCGAGCTAGTAAGCAGACCCAAAAATATGGCACACTGCGTTTCTTCGGAGATCCCGTGCACCTTCCGCGCCTTCCTTTTAAAGTGCACAAACGCCCCAATCGTGGAGAAGTCATCCTTGTTCATGGCCTCCAAATCCGCCATGGTTAGCAAGTCATCCCCCAACCTGTACTTCCTCTGCATCATGTCCCTGAACCTCGCCCAACTACCATTGGCGGCATCCACGACCTTGCCCACTTCCTGATGGTGGCTATGAAGGACATATCTTAGGACTCGCTGGAGCTTGACCTCGTCCGACAGCCTCACCAGTGCTTGCTCCGTCAGGTCTAGCCAGTCGGATACCCGTTCTCCCTTGAAGTGGAAAGTATCAACCTTCGGGACATTGCTCGGCGCTCTCTCGCGCTTATCCAGGGCATCGATGAGGTCGTCGAGCATTACAAGCTTTCTCCCACCGTCCACCATTTCCTCAGGCATTTTGATTAACTGCCTTCGGCTTCAATCCCCCTGTTATAAGAAGCGATAGGACAAAAGGTTCCACTCAGCAGTCCATTCCTTCACGATCCTATCAGACCGACCACCTAAAACCCGACGCTCTCGACCTGGCAGACATCTCTCTCTCTACTTCCTACCTCCCTTGGGTTCACCTAAGTAAGACTCATTCTCATCATAGAATTCATTCACATACTCACCTCGTTCATGCGATCAGCCAAACCACCAATCAGATCAACATTCACACCCACACAGCCATATGGATTACTATACGATTCGTCTCATAGCTCTACCTTTATCCACTCATGTGCCTAGTTCTCCCTCATTCTCATACCCGGATGTCGTTCCACCAGGGACAACGGTAGGCTTCCGTTATCCCCGGCAACGGCGCCACCTGTCGAGCGCATCGATCCAACACCGCACGTGGCAGCGCGGGACCCTCTCGGCCGCGTCACGCAGGAGATGGACCCACCTCGACACGAACGCACAAATGGAGCTTCCTCAGGCCGCTCCGCCCGAGTGCGCCAGCCATACCTCTCGCGAGCCCTTACGACAGGATAGGGCCTACGCGAGGCACAACTTACCTCCACTTTACGGGAGTTGTCACCTCCCTTCGGTGGGCGTATCCCCGCCGAGCTACCAGTCCACAATACGAAAGCTAATCAGTTGCAATCGCAGAGGTGGACCAGCCGAGGGCGTTTCTCGTTCTCTGTAGCATAGGGGTTACGAGCGGTAATACGCCTATTGGACCCGCACGCGAACCGACATCTTGGGGGGCTGAGGTCCCAAGCGCGACTCGTCGTCGGTCGACTAGGATGCATCCCACACACCACGCGCACACCACTTTAGAACACAAAAATAAAACACACACACACACACGCACATACAACACGACACGAGACACAACGCGACAACGCTCCTAGCCCCTCGGTAGCCAACCCATAACTTCCCGACACGAAAATCAGACAAGCGTCGCTCGCTCGAGTTAGTATAAAACTGCGCGGACGCATGGCTAACCCATATCAGCTCGCAATGCAGATGTACGCAAGCAGTCGCAATGATGGCGTACTATATAGTGCCCATAATCGTGCGGTCCTTGTTAATCTCGAGGGTCGCATTCGACACTCAAGTGTCGGCTGACACGCGCCTCGAGGGTTAATCTCTCGGCGCTGGACAACCGCCATGCGCGGTTGAAAACCACACCCTCTTCTGCACCCTGTGCAGAGGGGTTGAGTAGACAGCTTTGAGTTGTCGTGGCGGTCAAACATCAAGGGGTTTGACTTTGACGGTTGCCACGGACTACAACGTCCAACCATAAAAACCCTAGAAAGCAGACGAATGGGCCGAGGGCCCCCTCTTATTCCAACCAAGGTCATGATCTTTTGGGGGTACCCTCTCTCTCCTTGGGTGATGCCCATGGCCTACAATGACCTTTGCGTTTGCGTCTACGTGCGAGCCTCCCGATCCCATAACCTCTGGGCGTTGAGGCGGCAAAGCATCGTACGCAGGATTTTTACATAAGGTTGTGAGGCTGCTGGCCAGTCCCATACCGACCAACGATGCCAGTCATATGTGGTAATCGCGGCCCCGACCTCGCGAACCCCCACAGTAAATACACCCAAGCATACACACATAGGGGAGACAAAGTTGCGACGATCACTGCTCACAGACATTGTGGGGACTTCTTACAGTCATAAGTACATATATGAGATCGCAGGCAACTCTAAATCCAAATCTGAGTCACAAGGTCTACCTGCAATCACATCAAAGAATCGAGCAGCAACCACGCACTACACGGAGTCAACCCCAACCAATCTTCACACTCATACCCCTTGCTTTAGCCATGCAAGCCCCAATCTCTCGCCCATACAACCATAATTCAATACTTAGTACCTTTGTTAAATTGTCATTCAATAAAAGTCCGGGTGAAACCCTCAACAAACAATAAAGTCACCAGGGCTAAAGCCTTTTAGGTTGGGTGTGACGAGTGAGTTGGAATTGA